ATTTATTTATTTGACAGAGAGAGACACAGCGAGAGAGGGAACACAAGCAGGGGGAGTGGGAGAGGGAGAAGCAGGCTCCCCGCTGAGCAGGGAGCCCAACGTGGGGCTCGAACCCAGGATCCTGGGATCATGACCTGAGCCAAAGGCAGACACTTAACAACTGAACCACCCAGGCGCCCCAAGACTTTGGGTTTTTTGTGTGTTGTTGTTGTTTGTTTGTTTTTTGGTCATAAGCAGTAACATTCACAAGTTCCAGAGATTGGGATGGGGATATCTTTGGGGGGCCATTTTTCAGCACTCCATAAGAGGTTATTTGTGGATTACATAGGCCCCGTAACCTACCCGTCTATAACCTTTTAAAGAGCACCAGTCATGGGGCGCCTGGCTGGCTCAGTCGAAGAGCATGTAACTCTAGATCTTGGGGTTGTGAGTTTGAGCCCCACGTTGGGGGGGTAGAGATTACTAAAAAAAAAAAAAAACGAGAGAGCACTGGTCATTTTTCGTGTGAGTAAAGGCTTGTGAAGCAGTTGTGAAGGGCATCCTGGGAATTCAGCCACAACTGAAAGAAGACAGAAGAGGGGCCGGGGGAGGCAGCGACGCGGCCAATGATGAATGATCTCTCCCTCTTCTAGCGCGCACATCTTACAGGGACGGAGAGACCGGGGCTGTGGATTCTGTTATTGGCCTGTCTTTTTAAAGGGTGTAGATTTTAGAAATGGGAAGTGATTTAGAGGTTCTTCCACGCCAGCGTTTCAGCTCTTCAGAGGAAAGATCCGAACAACACGATCAGCTCTACATGGAGGGAAGATTTGAGTCAGAGGAAACACGAAACTTGGAAAGGGGCAGGTGGGAGATAAAAGCAGCACAGAGCTGAACCCACCCGCTGCCAGGAGGCCCCAGGGGCCCGTCCTTGAGCTGGAAGAGCGTGGAGCCCTTGGCCCGGAGCCAGGTGTGGCCCAGTCATGGGAAAGGCAGAACAGGTGCAGTTTAGTCCCGGGTAAGCGTGGCCTGATGACTGCAGCTGTGACCTCCTTGGGTGTCTACTGTGGAACACGCAGGTCAGCCACCGTAGCCAGATGTCCTTTAACACTTGAGTAGCTAATCCCCTGGTAAGGGGTCCTCTCTTCTCTCCTACACCTCCCGCTGCGGCACGGTGGCTGCACCCTGGTTGGGTTCCCGCGGCCCCAGCACAAGGCGATGAGCTAGGAAATGGCACAGATCCTTTTCAATCCCACCTTTCTCCCCCTTGCATTCTTCAGCCTGTGTTAACTCTTTCGCCGCATGGAGATGACACAGGTACCTCCCAGGGTGGGCGAAAGGGCCTGGCAGAGACCGGTGTGAGTGGATGTTTGAGAGCTCTGAATTCGCGATTTGGTATAAGGGAAGGGGTTCCCAGGAACCATGGCCTCCCTGACGCGCGTGTTGTCCTTTTGCCAAAAATTGTGACTCGATGAACTTGGAGTATCTAAGGAAGACAAAGCAAACGTAATTTCTATTCACGTGTCATTCACTGTGTTCTCTCCTTTTTAACTTTCTTTTCCAGATGGTAACAAAAAACAATCCAGATGGGGTGCAGGTGCTGTAAAATGATACAAAGGTAATGTTGAAAAAATAACCTCTGAGTGGAGGAATCTGGGATTCCCGTGGGGGCCCTTCTAAAGACCATGCATGGATTTCGTGCATTTATCCCTCTTGGGGCATGACCAGCATTGCTAAGAAATTATGAGTTTGGAACTGCTTTGATATCATTTAAGAGGACATGTGGCCTAGATTTTTAAACTTGTTTTACTCACCGCTCAGAGCACATTGGGAACGACATAATGCTCTGAGAGCAGATTTGGTTTAGTTGACTCTCCAGTTCCCCAGAGAGCTTCAGCACAAAGAAAAGCTTGGGTTTCAGAGATGATGCCCGACAGGGTGTCGCTGAAAATAAACCACGCCCATCACATACGTGTTTTTAATTTTGTCCAGATTCTATTTCAGAATAATTTGGATCCCATGAATAGAATTCTACACAAACTAAAACCTGACTAATTTGCTTCCTTCGCAAATAACACTTTTTATTATTCTAGTTCTACATCTGTAGCTATATGGCTGTATCCATTTAGTCATATGTATGTGTGTATCAGTTCTATTCCATTGTAATCACAATGTGATGGTAGGCTTTATTCAAAAAACATTTATCATAATAAATATTAGAAGTATCATTCATGTTAGTCCAGACTTCATATTTATTGTTTTAACGACTGCACGATATTCCATTAAGGGGATGTGCTTAACCACTTAGTCCCCTGTTATTGGACATTTGTTTTATTTCCCTGTTTGGTTGCTTTTAAACTCCATGAATCACTTTGTACTTTACTTTGTTTCTCTCTTGGATCTCTTCTTAGGCTCTATTCCTTTACCCCAACTCTATCTAATTGGTTTAGACACACATATAGGCTTAACGGAATAATCACAGAAATTAATAGGAATAGTAGAAGGAGGCAGAGCCTGCAGGAGAAAATATTAGTGATGGAAGCTAGTTATTCATAAAGGTAGTAACGAATAAAGTGAATTCGTGTTTAGCCTGACCCTCATCCTTGTCACCCCCAGCTATCTCTTTGATCCGGTTCAAGTGCCCTCCCCTGGCTATGTCAACGAGGTGAACAGCTACAAGGTGGATGAAGGTGACGCGGGTAAACTGAAAGGCAAACAGAGTGGCCAAGTCCTCGTGCACAAAAACGAGCTGCAGAGCGAGGGCCTGAAGAGGACGGCCAGCAGAGGCAGAGCCTGCGGCGGGCAGGAGCCCCACTGGCCTCCCCCAGGACCGCCTCCTCAGGGGGACACGGCGGGGGGATACTGTGCGGACAGGGCTGGCGGTGCCATCAATGGCATTGGCCCCGCCCCCGCCCCCCTGCAGCCCACTGGCGTTCATGGGCCCCACCGGGGAGACAGGGGCTCCTGCGTCAGGACCGCGCAAGGCGTCGCCCCAACTCAACCCTTCCCGGAAGGACAACAGGACGGTGTGCTGCCGGCCTCGCAAGAGACCCAGCTCGTCCGAAATGGGGACTCCAGAGCTTCTTCCAGGGCAGAAGGTCCTGCCTTGCAAGTACAAGACCATGACCTCCAGATACCGGCCCCGGATTACCCTCCCCTTCGGGGCTCCACGGTAGACAAAGCTGATCCGGAAGAAAAGGACTGTCTTTCCAAGAGCCAGACTGACGACGAAGCCCCGGCGGGAATTTCCCCCAGGGTGGGGGAGCACGGTTCGAACATGCCCTTCCCCTTGAAGAGAAGTTGGGATTCGTTAAGCGAGGCCGTGGCGACAGGAGACCTAAGTGTCTACTTTGAAGCAGAGGATGCTGCTCAGGCCGCGCCCGTGGTCGATTGGAGAACCGGGTGGGAGGATGCACCTGGCTCCGCGGGAGAGCCGGGTAGGGACGCGGAGGACGAGGATGCGGCCGTGGCCGAAGCCCTCGCAGCCTTAGAAGCAGCTACCGCTGGAGAAGACGTGGATGAGGCAGATTAGGGCCCTGAGCAGGTGTGGCTGCGCGCACGTGGGGTACGCATGCTCCGTGGTCGGAGCTGGTGCCCCGCAGCCTGCGCCCCCCGCAGCCTTACAGGTGGTTTGCGTCAGCATCCGCGCTGATGATCGCGGGGGCCCGCACCAGGCCGCTTGTTGTTAAGTATGGACAGCACCACTGTGTCAACGGGCGATCACTCAGGGCGCCAGATTAAAAATCAGAGTGCAGGTGCCCACGGCACATGTGGGAATCAAACAGCCTGCTCGTCGACCCACATCTCCCTCCAGAACATCTGGGACAGATGTGCTCGAGAATGCTCTGAAATCCCAGCGCTTAATCCCCACCCCTCCCACCACCACCAAGGGCACAGAATCACAGAACATTCTGTTTGTAAATTCGTTGTCTTGCTTTTGAGAGCCAGACATTGTACCCAACCTGGAAGAAGTAGCTACCCCCCACTGAAAGTGCCTAGTGTGTCCCCAGAGCATGGCTTGCCTTCAGGGACAGTCACCCAGGGAACTAATCACTAACCACTTGTTTGACATGGAGTTAAACTCAGCAGGCTTCAGGGTGGAGCAGAAGCCACCAGTAAGCAAATGGTTAGTCATTAGCTGTGATATTAGGACACCTTGACCTTAACTTTTTTACATTATTACTTTTTAATCTCCTTTGGGACTGGGGAGGCCGCCAAAATAATTCTGAAAACTGCTTGTGTTGTATTTGAGTTTTAAGTTCATGAGATTGGGAAGAGCGAAGAGATAGATGTTTTATGCCACTTAATGTCGATTCTGATTAAAATATAACAACATATGTGTCTGTCTGTTGTAACTCAAAGGTGGTTCTCATTTCCCAGACTGAGTGTCAGTAAGCCTTGATGTTTCTTTCCATTTCGAGAGCTGCACTACTGAGTTACAGGTGAGGAGAACCAGTCCATTTGCTGAGAATGGCTTTGGCTGTTTGTCCCTGCCGTTCAAACTCATGACACCACGTACTCCGATCTTACCTAAGGATGAGCCACAGCCCTCTCTGGATGCCAGCCCTCTGATTTATAAAAGCAAGAACTGCCATTCTGACGTGACTCAGTGGAGAATTTAGAGGATGGTCAAGTCTCTCTGGAAAAATATGAACATGGGAGATGCTCTCATATGGCATTTCATAACACAGGCTCTGAAACCTGGCTGACCTTGGTTTGATATCCAGCTTTGCCACACGACCTCGGGCAAATAATTTTTCCCTTCTATCTGCCCATCCGTTAAGTGAGAATAATAGTATGTATTTATAAAGATTGAATAAGATTATGCAAGTATTTATCACAGTGCCTGGCACACAGTAGGCACGCAATAAAATGCTAAGTCTTACCAGTTAACAACAAATCCTTGAAGAATGGCTTTATGTCCTCACAACTGAAAACTCTAACAATGTCAATGTCATCGCTGCACTTTGGTGATCATTTAAATAAAAAGGTGATTTCTGAGCTTCCCAGCATCTTTAAGGATGGCACCCTTACAAATGCTTACCAGACATACATTACCCTGGGTTTGTTTGGTGACACGCAAGCTCCACATATAAGGTCACACCGAGCGCTGAAGATATAAGCTGTTGTCATTGTTAATTGCATAATCGGAGGATTTGCTATTGTACTTAGTACACGGAATGCTTCCTATTTGAGAGTGGTCCCTTCAAGAGTTTCCCAAAGTGTATCTGTTGGGATTAGGTTCAGCTGCATGTGATACATGGCTTATATAAAAATAGAGATGTATTGAGAAGAAGTATTAGAAGAAGTCCAGAGTTAGCAGTCCAGGGTGGTAAGAGTTCCATCCTATCAGGGACCCATGCTCCTCTCATCTTGGCTTCCTTCTCAAGATTACTGTGTATTCCAGTCATTACATTTGCTTTCCATGCAGGGAAAAGAAGGAAGGAATCTCCCTCCCTTCCATTTATACCTCCTTGGTCAACATCTAGTCACGCGGTCACATTTAGATGCAAGAAAGGCTAAGAAAACTTATTTCTCTGTCTGGATTTTCCAATTGAATTCAGGATTCGCTTACCAAGAAGAGGGAGAATAGACATTGAGTGTTGAGGTGGTCAGCTTGCTGTGTCTGGTACGCCAGGGCCTCAGAACACAAGAGCCTGGGAGAGAGCCAGTTTGCAAGAGGTTGAAGGATTGTACTCACACTTGGTATAACAGAAAGGGATTGAACTTTTGGTCCAGTGGAAGGAGGACTGGACAGCTACAAGGTATCCCGACTTCCCGTGGCCGTCTCTACAACAGAAGGATGAAAGAAGAAAATTCAGACAGAAAAGGGGTAAGGTAAGGTGAGGAGTTAGTGCAGACAGGTCTCTTTGCTTGGCACCTGTACATAATTTCCCATTTTGAGACCGCTGCGGATACTTCACCATGTTAACAGTTCTCCTAAGTTTTAAAGATTCTTTTTGTGCAGATAACTGCTTCAGAAAGGTTAGCAGATGACCAAGATTTTTGAGCGTCTGTTTGTTTTTTTTAAGCTGTCATGACGCCTTTTGTCTACCCCCATATCCAGGCTCTACCAAAGGATGTCCGAATCTTCAGATTGAAAAGAAATGTCAGATTTTAGCTTTATCCACCAGGTTGTCTAGCAACTGACTAAGCATCCTAGTCTGTGGAGTGTCTTTCTATAGCCTAGTGCCACCCCCTATCAGAAAAGTGATGATTGGCAATAGTGAACTTTTAAAATATTCTGGACAACTTGAAAGCACAGATGCACTCTGAATGGAAGTCACTGGCTTTGATTAGGAGGGGACATCCTGGTCTTTCATGATCTAAGCAAATCGTGTCATGTGGCTATTTACCACATTAAATCTTGATTTTGATATAAAATTATTTCTATATTGTGTGCGTGTGTGTGCGCGTATGTATACATTTTTTACTGGGGCAAGCTGAACCATCATGTAAATAGAAAAGTAAATGTTTTTCTCTGGTTTCCAAGGCAGAGAGTAGCAAATTGTTGTAACTGTCAAACCAGATGTTTAAAGGCACAAAGAGAATTTGAGGCTGCTTAGCACACGCCCATTTTGTCCATACTTAGTAACTGCTGGCCAGTCACTGTTTCTCCCTGTCTGCTTCACTCTGCCTCTGACCCAAAGGATCACTCTCTCTCTTCCTGAGTCTTCCATCAGTATTTCCAAGCAGGAGGCCCTCGGAAGAATGAAGGGGCCACAGAATCCAAGCATGTGAGCAAAGATCTGACGTCCTTCGTTTTGTCTCTGTGAGGTCACAGGAGTGAGGCCTCCAGTCTTGGACGTGAACTTTATGATGAAAATGTGGAAATCCTTGCTTTCTGGGGGGTTTTTGTTTTTGTTTTTGTTTTAAACTCCAGAGTAAACCTCAGTTATTTTCAAACCCTCTATTTTGGAACTGGTGATAATTAAACAGAGACAAGCTAACATTTGTTTCTCCCGGTAAGCGCTTTCCCTGTTAATGTGTGGGAAAAATAAGTTGCACATTGATTTACTAAATTGGTAAGTTCCTCCGATGCAGGAGGTTATAGTAGACGGCTATAAGCCATCTGACCTTCAAAGCACCCTCGGCCACTTGAAGAAACAACACTGTAGACACCCCTATCAAATACGCTGATTATGGATGATTCTTACCTGCCACATTAAATCAGTCGGCTGCAGTCGACTACTAGCCGTGGTTTTCAGCTAAAGCAACTGTAACAAACCAGTGCCTTGTGCCTCCATCTAGGATAGCGTAGGGCACGAGGCGGGAACTCAATCCATCATTTGTTGAGGGAATGAGGAACAGCTCCCCACAGTACAGTTAGGACACCTCCGGCAGCGGAGATTCTGGATGCTCATTGGGAGATCGTGGTATGTGGCCATCAAGGTATAAATGCAGGGCCACAGAAGCACAAGTCTACGTGAATCCAAGAGAAAAGAAATTACATCTATTATTCATGATTTTCACTCCCGGACTGCCCTGCTCTGTTTGAGCAATGGTGCTTTACAGTGGTCCATGGAAAGGGGTCAGAGAGTAGAATTCGAGGACTCGGTGAAGGTTTGGTCTCTAGACTGAGACCACGGGACTCCGAGGAGCTTAATCTCCAATTGAGACAAAACCCTCAAGAAAACCAAAGTTTGGGACCAAGCAATGGGAAACTTGGCTGACCACATTTTTCTCTCATTTTGAACTCAATCTTTAAAATCCTGAGGGAGTAAGAAAGGAAGGATGTGTGTTTGTGTAACAAGACTCAGATGTCCCCCGGAGGTTGGCTCTGTAGCCATGCATCCCGAGCTCCAGGTCTCAGGGGTTATGAGGACATGGCACGTGCCAAGCACTCACACACACACACACACACACACCCCTCTGTAATCTGAAGAAATGGGGGTGGAATCAGTCTGTGCTTCTTGCTCACTGTGTGACCTTGAGTTTACATTTCTTAACTTTCCTGACCCTCACTTTCCCCACCTGTAAAACGGGGATCCTTCCTACCCCCTAAGCTGAAAGCAGATATTCTCAAATTTCAGGGTGCTTGTTTCCAAACAGCAGATTTCTGGGCCTCACCTCCCAGAGATTCGGGTTCCATAGGTCTTGGGCGGGGACCTGGCATCTGCATGGTTGATGTGGGTAATTCTCCAGCCACACATGGAGAGACACCAAGATTATAGACTAGGAATTGCCACATCTTCCTGATCTTGCAGCAGTTACCAATAAAAAAAAGTGTGTGCTCTTATCCCTAATAGAAGCACACTTACAATTACAATTAAACGTACCTCTTGAACTATGTCAATATACCCGACAAAGCAATATTAAGATGGATTAACACTTAAATATCAAAGTTTTAACACTTTCTTCCCATACCCCTTGGTTCTGTGAAACCTACTTTGAAAACCACTGATTTAGAAGCTCAAATGAACTATCTATAAAAGCACTTTGTAAATAGACAAAACTGAAGTAGTATTTTTGACAACATATATGTGAGCCATATACACTTAGAATGCACACTTAGCCGTACACAAGCAAATGTGAAAACGTACACCCCAATACCACTCATCCTCATCCTTTGAACCTGATTTTTAGGAAACTTCTGTATTTTCTGCTTTTAAGGATTTTGGAGTAGTTAATACAAAACTGGAGTAAAACATGACCTAGAGACCACAAGATAAACAGAATTTTACTCATCTCCCTTATCAAAACTATACATTCCCAACCAATCTGCACAAGACAGTTGGGAGATAGGCCGATGGGAGTATTTGTTTAGTCGGGATCTAGCTATTTTGAAAGCAAAACCATAACATTTTCTCTTGATGTCAGTCACCAACTTTAAAAAAAAATCACAAAAATAATTTCATTTCCAGATCCTACTCATCCTTTCCAGAATAGTCAAAGCTACAGACAATGGTGCATATAAACCTTGGTACTCATATAAAAAAGGACAATTTCATAGGTCAAAGAGGGCTAATGGTCTCTCCCCATTAACGAACGTTCTTTCCCGGTCTTAAATATCGACGCTTAGAAAGGAACCAAAAGTTTTAAATTACCCACTTACAAAGCCATAAGATCATAGGCTCTCAGATTTTCATGACATCAGCCATTAGCCAGGAGACAAGCCAAGGACTGTTACGGTATTTAAAATTTATTATAGAGGGAAAAATTCCTAACCAGAAAAATTTATCAGCAAAGAAACCATTTCATAATAATTTGCCAAACAATACAATTATTGATATAGAAATCTTATTCAGTGATAATTTATGGGAGCCATCAAGTTATGGGTTTGGGTTTCTTATAGGTGCAAATATAGCTTTTTTCAAAACCACCATTTGTTATGCAT